TCTCATCATCCTCTGTTTCAAGTTTCAACCTCCTAGGCAGATTAGTTTCTCTGTAGGCAGTAATGGCAGGCCAGTGTTTGTACTAGCTCTGAAAACAGCAACTAAACCGGATCTGGCAGTTCTGCCTATGCTGGCATTGAGCCCATAGCCTAAGCTAGTGCCAGGTCCCACACCTAATGCTTCAGCTGAAGCCTGCACCTGTGCTGGTGCCGATTCTGATTGATTACCTGCATTGTTGGAGTAATCCAGGTTTCTGCCTTGAAAAGGCATTGCCATTTATCCTAAGCCTTGAAATCAACAGGACTGCATAACTGTTTGTGCAGTCCTTTGTGTATTTATAGTGACATCAGACGATTTCTACAGCTTGACAGTAATTTCCAAAAGGAATGTCGATGAACAGGAGTTTGTGTAAATGTATGTAATTATATTCAGTATATCCATATCTGTAAATGGATGTTGATAGGACTATAATATGTACACATGTGTGGACACACACACATACATATAACCTTATCGATATTAATATATTTAGAAGAGAAGGAAGACAATGGTGGGAGTTATGAAGGTTTTATTTGGCTTAAGTTCGGGATGCTTGTATTATTCATAAATATCAGAGTCACAAGAGAATTCTGCAGGTGATCCTGAGCAAATGCTCATATAATCTTCATATCCCATACCATGCCATCATGAATTATGTGTATGATGCTTATTTTACAGAAAGGGTGTTTAGAAATTTACTTAAAAGTGTATGCTATAGAGCAGTGGAGGACAACCTGCAGGCTGCATGTGGCCCATCAGGGTAATCTGTTTGCGGCCCGCGAGACATTTTGCTGACATTGACTATCTACAGGCACGGCCCCCCGTAGCTCCCAGTGTGCCGTGGTTTGCTGTTCACGGCTAATGGGAGCTGCGGGAAGCGGTGGGCTGTAGGTTGCCCACCACTGCTATAGAGAGTTATTAAAAGTACAATTGGTACTGTTTTTATATCCCTTCAGTTGCCCACCGTTGCTATAGAGAGTTATTAAAAGTACAATTGGTACTGTTTTTATATCCCTTCGCTTGTAAAATGCTTTCGCACCACAAATTGAACCATACAGGATTTGAAAGCAGAGGAAAATTATAACAAACCTCTCATAATCATCTAAAAGAGCTTTCTACCTATAAAATAGTGACTTTAAAGAAGCTAGTTTGTTTCTAGCCTTTGTAGATGATAAAGGGATTATATCATTGGAAAGGGGGAATTCGTTCCTTTCAATTATATATTCATAGTCATGATGGATCATGAAACCTCTAATTGCGAGAGGAACATGTTCTTTTTTAGCAGAAATTCAACATTTTGGAGGAGAAGGAAGAGAAAGTGTTGTGACAAGTTGTTTTCGGGGCAAAACCAAGAGCAACACCACGATATTGGCACTGGTATCATGATGGTTGTGCACATGCTTATATAAGGGGTAGGAGGAAGGGGCACAACCAGGCCATCCAGGTACAGTTCAGGACTGGCTAATTTCATGGTAACACTGTTTTAACCTGCATTCACTCTGGTTCCAATGCTAAATGCCAGAGAAAGCAACTGGAAATTAATGCAAAACTAATTACATACTAGCAGGAAAAGTAATACCTTTTTCTGCTTGGTTGCATTGCATGGTTTATAGACATATATGAAAGGAGGCAGCTCTTGGAACATCACTGTTTCCCTTGTGGTTGCTCGTGGAGGGGCAATCTAGTTTGAGTGTTACTTACATGCTGTCTGAGAATCCTACCCCTTTATTTTCTAGACATAGTAGAGGGGTTGTGGGTCTCATGTAGCCCTGTAGGCAACAACAAAACAGAACTACCCACAAAAATGGTAGAATTTGTTCAATTAATGGGAAAAGATATGGATACTGTTGGATGCTAGTATGTTGTAATGGATGTAATGTTTGGAGTGTATATGTTGTTTGTGCTTAGCTGCAGCCTTCATCTTGCCACTATTATGTTACATTCAGCTGACTTGTTTTAATGTACAGTTGGCTCACATAAAATAGACTATTGCCCCGTCTTTTACACCTTCCTAGGAGGAATGAATAAAATGAGTTCCAATCAAAGAGCGTCAGCTCCTCTTAGAGCATAGTTTTAGTGTCTGCAGTTCTTGCTAAATTCCCCTTGAGCCTTTTTAGAGGCAGCTAGGGCTAAGGTTCCTCTCCTAGATAATGACCTTTTTGTAATTTAACCTTTCCTGAGAATTTCCAAACATACTGCTTTCACTTAGCTGGATCCTTTTACTCCCCGGTGAAGCCAGACATTTATGTAAATGTGGAGTTCTCAATGCAGACTTTTGACCCAAGCCAGTGTGTGTGTGTGTGTGTGTGTATGTGTGGGAGGGGGAGTTTGCTAGGGATCAGTCTCATAACTTAAAGAAAGCACTTTAATGCTGAAATGAACTATATCATAGGTGTTTGGAGGGGGCTTTTTTAGGAGAGAGGAAAAATACAAAAAGGAGATTATTTGGCTAATTATGATGGCCTAAATATTCAAAAGTGACTACTGATTTTTGGTGTGTCTGTTTTTGGATGCCTAGCTTGAGACACCTTGAAGGGGCTAGATGTTCAAAGGTGATATGCACAGAGGAGCCAATTTAAGGTTAGACCAGTAACCTTAATTCTGGCATTTTCAAGTTTTGAGTGCTTCACTGTACAACATAAATTTGATTATATGTAGTTTGATGTATGTATTTCAGTATATAGTGTGTAATTTGTCTGCATGCTTACAGGATATTTTCATCAGGTTCCAATTCTATGCTAGAAGACTGCAGAATTGTTCATATTGTTTTTTGTATTCCTTTTTTATCTTGCTTTATTCTGCTTTTTCCTCATTTTGTAGATTTAATGTGTAATAAAAATGCAATAATGTACATAGTTGCATAAGTTGCACACTGTAGGAAAAAATCATTTAAAATTATGGGCCATTGAGCAGCAAATGAATTAATAGCATATGGAGGTAATGCTTATAGTAATATTCAGTCAAAGACTATGGGCAAAATTCTACCCTAGGTCATCACTGATGTGTTTAAATGGAGAGGAGCAGTATTAGCAAAGCCAAGTGTCTAGGAGTCACCATGCTGTACAGAATGGGGTGTCTCAGGAGGACTTGGTAAAAACTACTGCGTACAATGGTTCTTTTGTTGCTCAAAAAATGAGAACCATGCACACTCTTTCTTCGCATCCAGTATCTGCTGTTGAACACAGACTACATGAAGGTGCACTGGGGCCTGGTCATGACCCTAAGCCAACTAATTATATGCTTCCTTGGGTCTAAGGAGTACTTGCAGATACATTAATTAGGGTGTCCTTCACAATGTTCGAGAGAGTGCTAGTTATATCAAGGTACAGTAGTAGGCACTTTGCTTTTTTTTTCCTTTCTATTGTACTGAACAACACCAAAAAAGAATTTACCCTTAGGGAATATCTACACTGCAGCCAAAAACCTATGGCTGGCCCGTGCCCGTTGACTTGGGTTCATGTTGCTCGGGCTAAGGGGCTATTTAATTGTGGTGCAGATGGTTGGGCTCAGGCTGGAGCCCCGCAATTTGAAGAGCCCTTTCGTCTGAGCCATGCGAGCCTGAGGCCAGCCGTGGGTTTTTAATTGCAGTGTAGACAAACCCTTAGTTTATACATTCTGGAAGATGCTGTTCTCCATGGGTCTAATCCATGCTGTGGATTTTAATAGGTGTTGATGATGCTTGTGGACTCACTAGATAAGTCGAATGAGTATTTTTAGGATACATTCATTTTTTGAAGTCAACCAGTCAGTCACTAGAACATGCTAAACATGTTTTTTAACTTTCCTGTTATACTTTCCTAGACCTCAGTGTCAAATATTTTAATGTCAGAGATAACTGTTCTATCTTTCTATTTTCCTGCCTGCCTTTGAATAGTACCACTATCCTTTCCCTATCAGTAGTATCTCAGGAGGGTGTTGAACAGCAGCTACTAAAGGTAGGCATTTTTAAATCAGCAGTTCCAGATAACTTGCATTCAAGAATTTTAAAAGAGATGGCTGAGAAGCTTGCTGGACCATTAATGTTGATTTGGAATAAGTCCATGAAGCTTGGGGGAAGTCCCAGAAAACGGGAAGAAAGCTAATGTTATACAAATATGTTAAAAGGGTAAAACGGGATGACCTGGGTAATTATAGGCCTGTCACCCTGACACCAGTCCTGGGCAAGATGGTGGAGCGGCCGATACAGAACTCTATTAATAAAGAATTAAAGGAGGGTTTCTTCAATCTAGCAGAGAAGGGTATAACACAGTCCAATGGCTGGAAGTTGAACCTAGTCAAATTCAGACTGGAAATAAGGTGTACGTTTTAAACTATGAGAGTGATTAACACCTTAGAACAAAGTAACAAGGGTTGTGGTGGATTCTCTATCATCAGCAGTTTTTACATTTAAATTTTTCTAAAAAATATGCTTTAGGAATTATCTTGGGGAAGTTCAATGGCCTATACAGGAGGTCAGATTAGATGGTTATTATAGTTCCTCGTGGCTTTGGAATATCTGAATTCCTTACTTCTGGTAAAGTATATCTGTACTCGATAATGGTGGCATAGCTTTTATTTGTTACAGTATTGTCTTGTCTTTGTGACCTTGAATATCGTCATTCCTTACATCTGTTGTTTTACGTTGCTGAATCTGCATTATTATTCCATACTTCACATCAACAATATCATATTGTATTGTTCTTTTTTGCAGTCCAGATAATGATGAATCCTTTGCCTTTCCTCCATTATTGGTCCTAAGATTAAATTTCTTTTTAGCGCTATGTGACAAAGTTCCTCTTCTGCCTTGGTGGGTCCTGCACTTATTGGCGGATTTGCTCACATCTGGCCCGGCCCTGTCACAGTTAATATTCCTTGTTGTAAAAATCTTAAGGGTTTAGGGTTTTTTAGGTTTTGAACATGACACTTTACCACAGCCTAGCACAATATTTGCTTGCTTATGTCAGAATATTTGTTTCAATCAGGAGGAATCTTCAGACAAATTTGTGATCTGTAGCTGTTCTTGCAAGGTCAGCTGCAATGAGGATAGTATTGCACCTGTATCTGAGGAAGATGGACCACAGAAAACCCCTCCTATCATCTGGAAATTATTGGAACATAATTCTCTGCAATACAGTGAGTTTTGAATACCTGCATACCTCTCTGTCATCAGGAGAGGGGGGGGGGGGTTATATTTATTTCATATACTCTTGTGGAACATAATATTAAACATTATAAAAAAATTCTGTTTGGTGAATGTTTGTAATCTTTTTGGTGTCCAGACAGTCTGAAGGAAAAATGCATCTGGGATAATGCATATAAGGAGAAATTTTTTGTCTCTGCACAAGGAGATCATCTTGGGTGATGACATACAATATTTATACTTATGCGTCTGAGATTAATTACAAGATTGATCCTGCTTCTTGATAGGATAACCTTGTCAGTTTTTTATAAGAGTAAATACCAAGTTTTTACAATACCGCCTCTGTCCATGTAATTTAATCTGTTTTATAATTTAACCTTCAATTAATTGGATTGGAGAAAAGGTTATGGTGGCTTAAAAAAAATCACACACACTCCCCCCAGTCCCTGCATCTTTTAAAAATATAAAATAGCCTGCTCTGCCTCAATTTTCAGTGTACCAAAAAGTCCCTTATGTACTTTTTCTTGTGGTTGGAATGTGAAAGTGGTACTGTTACAACTTTCTTTTCAATCAGACTACTTTCACAATTTCATTTGGTGTCCATGCAGCTTCTAATGCTCAGAAGTGACTCAGGCTGTTCTATCTGGAGGCAATTGACTCAGATTTATACATGGGTGAATTCATACACGTAATTCGCATTAGTGTTAATGGGCAGTACAAGCTACCAATGTTGAAATCCTTCTTGATGACATGTCCATGCCGCCTAGCATTTGAACTGTAATGTTCTGAATCTTATTTATCTGAATTAGAGCCAGTTCCTGCAAATAGTTACTTCTGCAAGGAGTTGCGTTCACTTGCATAAAGGCAGAGGTATTATACACAGAGCCCTGCTTGGGTTCAAAATTTATATCTGATTCTGATCTGCAATCTGCAGATATGGTCTACGGATATAGCTATCCACAGAGCAGGGCTTGAACTATACAAGCAGGAGAGTGCAGATTCACGCCCTTACACTACAGCTCTGAGACAAGAGACTTTGGGTGAAATCCTAGCCCCATTAACTTCAAGGGTAAAACTCCCATTGACTTCAATAGAGCCAGAATTCACCCTTCATCTTCCTCCACATTATAAGGCATCATGTACATTTTAGAAACAAATAAGAACTCCACCTTGCATTAATGGTAAGCAGCAGGATACGGACCCTGGACTTCAGGAAAGCAGACTTCGACTCCCTCAGGGAACGGATGGGTAGGATCCCCTGGGGGACTAACATGAAGGGGAAAGGAGTCCAGGAGAGCTGGCTGTATTTCAAGGAATCCCTGTTGAGGTTACAGGGACAAACCATCCCCATGTGTCGAAAGAATAGTAAATATGGCAGGCGACCAGCTTGGCTTAACGGTGAAATTCTAGCGGATCTTAAACATAAAAAAGAAGCTTACAAGAAGTGGAAGGTTGGACATATGACCAGGGAAGAGTATAAAGATATTGCTCGGGCATGTAGGAATGAAATCAGGAGGGCCAAATCGCACCTAGAGGTGCAGCTAGCGAGAGATGTTAAGAGTAACAAGAAGGGTTTCTTCAGGTATGTCGGCAACAAGAAGAAAGCCAAGGAAAGTGTGGGCCCCTTAATGAATGAGGGAGGCAACCTAGTGACAGAGGATGTGGAAAAAGCTAATGTACTCAATGCTTTTTTTGCCTCTGTCTTCACTAACAAGGTCAGCTCCCAGACTGCTGAGCTGGGCATCACAACATGGGGAATAGATAGCCAGCCCTCTGTGGAGAAAGAGGTGGTTAGGGACTATTTAGAAAAGCTGGACGTGCACAAGTCCATGGGGCCGGACGAGTTGCATCCGAGAGTGCTGAAGGAATTGGCGGCTGTGATTGCAGAGCCATTGGCCATTATCTTTGAAAACTCGTGGCGAACGGGGGAAGTCCCGGATGACTGGAAAAAAGCTAATGTAGTGCCAATCTTTAAAAAAGGGAAGAAGGAGGATCCTGGGAACTACAGGCCAGTCAGCCTCACCTCAGTCCCCGGAAAAATCATGGAGCAGGTCCTCAAAGAATCAATCCTGAAGCACTTACATGAGAGGAAAGTGATCAGGAACAGTCAGCATGGTTTCACCAAGGGAAGGTCATGCCTGACTAATCTAATCACCTTCTATGATGAGATTACTGGTTCTGTGGATGAAGGGAAAGCAGTGGATGTATTGTTTCTTGACTTTAGCAAAGCTTTTGACACGGTCTCCCACAGTATTCTTGTCAGCAAGTTAAAGTAGTATGGGCTGGATGAATGCACTATAAGGTGGGTAGAAAGTTGGCTAGATTGTCGGGCTCAACGGGTAGTGATCCATGGCTCCATGTCTAGTTGGCTGCCGGTGTCAAGTGGAGTGCCCAGGGGTTGGTCCTGGGGCCGGTTTTGTTCAATATCTTCATAAATGATCTGGAGGATGGTGTGGATTGCACTCTCAGCAAATTTGCGGATGATACTAAACTGGGAGGAGTGGCAGATACGCTGGAGGGCAGGGATAGGATACAGAGTGACCTAGACAAATTGGAGGATTGGGCCAAAAGAAATCTGATGAGGTTCAATAAGGATAAGTGCAGGGTCCTGCACTTAGGACGGAAGAACCCAATGCACAGCTACAGACTAGGGACCGAATGGCTAGGCAGCAGTTCTGCGGAAAAGGACCTAGGGGTGACAGTGGACGAGAAGCTGGATATGAGTCAGCGGTGTGCCCTGGTTGCCAAGAAGGCCAATGGCATTTTGGGATGTATAAGTAGGGGAATAGCAAGCAGATCGAGGGACGTGATCGTCCCCCTCTATTCGACATTGGTGAGGCCTCATCTGGAGTACTGTGTCCAGTTTTGGGCCCCACACTAAAAGAAGGATGTGGATAAATTGGAAAGAGTCCAGCGAAGGGCAACAAAAATGATTAGGGGTCTGGAACACATGACTTATGAGGAGAGGCTGAGGGAACTGGGATTGTTTAGTCTGCGGAAGAGAAGAATGAGGGGGGATTTGATAGCTCCTTTCAACTACCTGAGAGGTGGTTCCAGAGAGGATGGTTCTAGACTATTCTCAGTGGTAGAAGAGGACAGGACAAGGAGTAATGGTCTCAAGTTGCAGTGGGGGAGGTTTAGGTTGGATATTAGGAAAAACTTTTTCACTGGGAGGGTGGTGAAACACTGGAATGCGTTACCTGGGGAGGTGGTAGAATCTCCTTCCTTAGAAGTTTTTAAGGTCAGGCTTGACAAAGCCCTGGCTGGGATGATTTAATTGGAGATTGGTCCTGCTTTTGTGCAGGGGGTTGGACTAGATGACCTCCTTAGGTCCCTTCCAACCCTGATATTCTATGATTCTGTGATTCTAATGGGAATATTCAACCATTGCAACACTGATTGGGAGAATGTTGTGTTCAAGTAAGGTGCAGAAAATAGCCTCCCCCTATTTCCTGTAATTGTTAATTCAAGAAGTATTTTTAGAGTAAAATTTTCAAAAGTGCCCAAGTCCCATTTTCAAATTGACAGTTTTACTTCTGAGTGCCTAGCAGCCAATGTTTTCAAAGATATTTAGGCATCAAAACATGTGGCATGGGGCCTAAATGGAATTTCAAAAGGGCCTTAGCAGGTTAGGCACCTAACTCCCATAGATAAGGTGGTATAGCTACTGAAATTGCAAGAATGACAAATAATACTTTAGATAACGCAATTTTTAAGAAAAGAGTATATTCTGGAGAAAATGTGTAGGAGATAATTTTGTCAGGTTCCATTTGGAAACGCTGATGACTGCACATTTACTTTTGATAGTTGTGTTGTATCTTACAGTCTGTAAATCATTTTTGAAGATGATCTAATAATCTATGATTTTGCTCTAAAAGTTTTTTCTTCCTGAGTATAGACAATTTGGTTTAAAAGATTTTCTTTGATAAACCTTAATCTGATATCTTTTGTTTTTGTAATCAGATTGATTTTCTTTCATTCCTTTAGGGAAGCCATTAGAATGTTTTGGAAAATCCTTAAGTGGTTACCAGTGGGTTTCAGGCATCACTGCCCGCTTCCTTCAACTAGAAGGAAGGAGTATTCAAGATGCAGCTCAGGAGGCGTTTTCTTCCCTCCAAGGTGCTTTATTAATCTGAACCATTATTTATCACTAAACCAATTGCTTTCTTAAATACAGTGCAAAGTAAAGAGCTGATATATTTTTATGTTTTGATAACTTTATGATTATAAATTTACAATCTCAGGCTTTCATCAGGCTGGCACCATGCTATTAAGACTGCTAACTTTAATATTGAATACATTGTAATGTGCACAGATTTTAAAGACCCTAGAAAGCAAGGATAGGGGATAAAATCATTATATCAGAATTATTTCCAAAATATTCTTACCAGCTTTGTGGAAGACAACTCTACACTTTTATGTAATGAAATATATACAGTTTATATGTTTCAGAGGAACAGCCGTGTTAGTCTGTATTCGCAAAAAGAAAAGGAGTACTTGTGGCACCTTAGAGACTAACCAATTTATTTGAGCATGAGCTTTCGTGAGCTACAGCTCACTTCATCAGATGTTTACCGTGGAAACTGCAGCAGACTTTATATACACACAGAGAATATGAAACAATACCTCCTCCCACCCCACTGTCCTGCTGGTAATAGCTTATCTAAAGTGATCAACAGGTGGGCCATTTCCAGCACAAATCCAGGTTTTCTCACCCTCCACCCCCCACACAAATTCACTCTCCTGCTGGTGCTAGCCCATCCAAAGTGACAACTCTTTACATAATCAAGTAGGGCTATTTCCTGCATAGATCAAGGTTTTCTCACATCCCCCCCACCCCCATACACACACAAACTCACTCTCCTGCTGGTAATAGCTCATCTAAACTGACCACTCTCCAAGTTTAAATCCAAGTTAAACTAGAACATCTGGGGGGGGGGGTAGGAAAAAACAAGAAGAAACAGGCTACCTTGCATAATGACTTAGCCACTCCCAGTCTCTATTTAAGCCTAAATTAATAGTATCCAATTTGCAAATGAATTCCAATTCAGCAGTTTCTCGCTGGAGTCTGGATTTGAAGTTTTTTTGTTTTAAGATAGCGACCTTCATGTCTGTGATTGCGTGACCAGAGAGATTGAAGTGTTCTCCGACTGGTTTATGAATGTTATAATTCTTGACATCTGATTTGTGTCCATTTATTCTTTTACGTAGAGACTGTCCAGTTTGACCAATGTACATGGCAGAGGGGCATTGCTGGCACATGATGGCATATATCACATTGGTGGATGTGCAGGTGAACGAGCCTCTGATAGTGTGGCTGATGTTATTAGGCCCTGTGATGGTGTCCCCTGAATAGATATGTGGGCACAATTGGCAACGGGCTTTGTTGCAAGGATAAGTTCCTGGGTTAGTGGTTCTGTTGTGTGGTATGTGGTTGTTGGTGAGTATTTGCTTCAGGTTGCGGGGCTGTCTGTAGGCAAGGACTGGCCTGTCTTTAGATAAGCTATTATCTAAATATTATTATTATTTAGATAAGCTTTAGATAAGCTATAAGCTGTCTTTAGATAAGCTATTACCAGCAGGACAGTGGGGTGGGAGGAGGTATTGTTTCATATTCTCTGTGTGTATATAAAGTCTGCTGCAGTTTCCACGGTAAACATCTGATGAAGTGAGCTGTAGCTCACGAAAGCTCATGCTCAAATAAATTGGTTAGTCTCTAAGGTGCCACAAGTACTCCTTTTCTTTTTGCGAATACAGTTTATATGTGTACCTTTCTAGATATAATGTATACATAGTCTGTCTGTGCATGTATGTTCTAGATGCCAACTGCTTGGTAAAGTGCTTTTGTTACCACAGTAATTTTAAATAAGTTTTCCAGAAAGCTGTTGCTCTTGTACATTTTGGCATCTAGGATTAGGTCAGTAGCAGTAAATCTCATTTATGTACTTAATGCAAAGGAAAAATTGCTGTTTTGGGAATCATGGAAGCCAGATTCCTTTCTGTCACACTCTTACAAGATATTGACATATAAAATAAAATGTTCCCATTTTGTTTTGCAGTCTTTTTGCATTTTAAACTTTAAATAAAGAATGTTTATGCAGGCTTCTTTTTCATTCATAAAAATGAAAATCATTCTTAGTGACTGTTTGGGTAGGCTTGTATTCTTTTTCACGAATTCTTGTGATATATTAGCCCATAAAATCTTTACATTTGGCTTGTGCAGCTGAGTTCATGAATGAATACAGAATGATAAAGAAGCTTTAGCATTTTTAGAAAGCAAAGAAATCATGCTTTCTAGATGGCCTTTAAGCTAGTTTTTAACAGCCTGGAAATCAGCAAAGAGGGTGTAATCAAACTTGTAGTTAAAGGCACTAGTGTTTAGCGTAAATCTTTTGGGCATAATCTGTAAATTGAAGCAAAGGGGCTCTATAACATTTTCCTTGGTTCTCATTTTATTTGTTTGGATATCTGCCAATCCAAACATTATATATTTTTGCCTTGCCATCCATCAGAAGTTTTTTTAAAAAAACCTACTTATTGTGTCACTGGCTAGTTGAGTAGCCTCTTGCTTTCAGCATATTACTTGTATTTACTGTATTTGCTGTATTGTTTTCCATTTCTGGCAAAATAATAGCTTTTTGATCCTTGGTAGTAAATGTCAACGCTCACATTTCCTGTGGGGTTTTTGCCTTTTCGTGTGGAGGGTGGGGAAAGCTGAATGAATTATGATCCTGTCATCTGAAGAAACCACAATATGTTTCTTTGCCAAGTTTTTCTGAGTGCTAAACTGATCATGTGCAGGTATGCATGAGCCTTTTCCTGAACTCTTACTAGCAATGTACTTAGGACTTCAGTCTGTTCTCTATCATGATGGGAGAATGGAGCATACACAAGTCCTTTTAACTTACTCCTTGCAAGGTTAATTGGTTTAATCACCTCTAAAGAAGATGAGTTTTGCCAGAAGGATTTAGAAATGGAAATTTGCTACTGGAATTCATGAAACATATGATAGTCCTAGCCCATAATATCAAAACCCGAAGAGAGAATCTAGTGCTGTACTTTGTCCATTTATTTACTTTTTCAAGATATATATTTTTATTCAAACTTTTCTTACATTAAAGTTTTTGGAAGGAGACAAAAATTACAATAGTAAATGTTATCTATAGAGGGCCAGTTCCTCAGCTATTGTAAATTGGCATTGTCCAACACAATGAGCTGGCCCAGGGTTGGATGTATTACACAGTACAGACTGTATTGATATTCTTTCTTGTACATTTTCAGGGTAAGGATCTTACTCAGGTCATCCATTAATAAATAAATGTATGCAGTGTAATTGTAGGTGTGTCGGTCCCAGGATATTAGAGAGACAAAGTGGGTGAGGCAATATCTTTTATTGGACCAACTTCAGTTGGTGAGAGAGACAAGCTTTTGAGCCACACAGAGGTCTTCTTCAGAATCTCAAAAGTTTGTCTCTTTCACCAATAAAAATTGGTCCAATAAAAGATGTTGTTACCCACCTTGTCTCTCTAAATAAATAAATAGCATTCTGGTACTTGTACTTCTAGTACTTGAAACTATCATAGAATCATAGAATATCAGGGTTGGAAGGGACCTCAGGAGGTCATCTAGTCCAACCCCCTGCTCAAAAGCAGGACCCATCCCCAATTAAATCATCCCAGCCAGGGCTTTGTCAAGCCTGACCTTAAAAACTTCTAAGGAAGGAGATTCCACCACCTCCCTAGGCAACGCATTCCAGTGTTTCACCACCCTCCTAGTGAAAAAGTTTTTCCTACTATCCAACCTAAACCTCCCCCACTGCAACTTGAGACCATTACTCCTTGTCCTGTCCTCTTCCACCACTGAGAATAGTCTAGAACCATCCTCTCTGGAACCACCTCTCAGGTAGTTGAAAGCAGCTATCAAATCCCCCCTCATTCTTCTCTTCCGCAGACTAAACAATCCCAGTTCCCTCAGCCTCTCCTCATAAGTCATGTGTTCCAGACCCCTAATCATTTTTGTTGCCCTTCGCTGGACTCTTTCCAATTTATCCACATCCTTCTTTTAGTGTGGGGCCCAAAACTGGACACAGTACTCCAGATGAGGCCTCACCAATGTCGAATAGAGGGGGACGATCACGTCCCTCGATCTGCTCGCTATGCCCCTACTTATACATCCCAAAATGCCATTGGCCTTCTTGGCAACAAGGGCACACTGCTGACTCATTCCTATCCTAAATATCCTAAAGAACAAAATTGTCAGACACATAGATGAACATAATTTGTTGGGAAATAGTCAACATGGTTTTAGTAAACGGAAATTATGCCTCACCAATCTACTAGAATTCTTTGAGGGGGTCAACAAGCATGTGGACAAAGGAGATCCAGTGGATATAGTGTATTTACATTTTCAGAAAGCCTTTGACAAGGTCCGTCACCAAAGGCTCTTAAGCAAAATAAGCAGTCATGGGATAAGAGGGAAGATTCTCTCATGGACTGGTAACTAGTTAAAAGATAGGAAACAAAGGGTAGGAATAAATGGTCAGTTTTCAGAATGGAGAGAGGTAAATAGTGGTGTCCTCCAGGGATCTGTACTGGGCCCAGTCCTATTTAACATATTCATAAACAATCTGGAAAAAGGGGTAAACAGTGAGGTGGCAAAATTTGCAGATGATACAAAACTACTCAAGATAGGTAAGTCCCAGGCAGACTGTGAAGAGCTACAAAAGGATCTCACAAAACTGGGTGACTGGACAAAAAAATGGCAGATGAAATTTAATGTTGATAAATGCAAAGTAATGCATATTGGAAAACGTAATCCTAAATATACATATACAATGATGGGGTCTAAATTAGCTGTTACCACTCAAGAGAGAGATTTTGAGTCATTGTGGATAGTTCTCTGAAATCATCCACTCAATGTGCAGTGGCAGTCAAAAAAGTGAACAGAATGTTGGGAATCATCAAGAAATGGATAGATAAGACAGAAAATATCATATTGCTGCTATATAGATCCATGGTATGCCCACACCTTGAATACTGCGTGCAGATGTGGTCGCCCTATCTCAAAAAAGATATATTGAATTGGAAGAGGTTCAGAAAAGGGCAACAAAAATTATGAGGGGTATAGAATGGCTTTTGTATGAGGAGAGATTAATAAGACTGGGACTTCTCAGCTTGGAAAAGAGGCAACTTAAGTGGGGATATGATAGAGGTCTATAAAACCATGAGTTGTATAGAGAAAGTAAATAAGGAAGTGTTATTTACTCCTTCCCATAATACAAGAACAAGGGGCCACCAAATGAAATTAATAGGTAGCCGGTTTAAAACAAACACAAGAAAGTATTTTTTCACACAACGCACTGTGAACTTCTGGAACTGCTTGCCAGAGGGTGTTGTGAAGGCCCAGTATTATAATGGGGTTCAAAAGGGAGCTAGATAGATTTATGGAGGATAGGTCCATCAATGGCTATTAGTCAGGATGGGCAGGAATGGTGTCCCTAGCCTCTGTTTGCCAGAAGCTGGGATTGAGTGACAGGGCATGGATTACTTGATAATAACCTGTTCTGTTCATTCCCTTTGGGGCACCTGCCATTGGCCACTGTCAGAGGACAGGATACTGGGCTAGATGGACCTTTGGTCTGACCTAGTATGTCCGTTTTTATGTTCTTATGTACTTTCACTTCAAAGGTGGTTCTGTCCCAATGAGGCTGAGTCATACCTGACCAAATGCTACAGACTCTTAGATGGCAGTGAGAGGCCCCAAACTCAGTAGAAATACCATGTACTTATTTTGTGTATCATGGATATAAGCTCTGTGGAGGCTATCTCTATGAACAAATGGATGGAGGATTTGTAGGTGGGCTAAGAAAATGGTGTGTGGATGTGTAGGTAGAGAGTGGTAGTTAGGCACAGTTGGTGAAGCTTCTTTCTACCAGACACAGTCCTTCATGTCACCAGCAGCGCCCTGCCTCTGTATTGGGAGAAAACTTCCATCTCCCCACTCCCCCCACCACCCATGCATAATTCCTCTTGCAGGGCAGAGCAGGATTTCACCTTTTTATCTTTTTTTAAAGTGAATCGTTTCTGTAACTAAGTTAAGAATTATGAACATTAAGAAATAAATTCCCTTTCTTTGAACTTGGTCAAATACAGCTATACATCAATCAGATTAGTTTTTCAGTTTAGCCCAGTATTTCCGCCCCAAAAATATGTTTCAAATCACACACGTTAAACTGTAACTTGAGAAAAAAATAATGCTTGGCAAAAATGTTCTGCTGACTGGAGGTTTGAAAAGTGCACTTATTTCCTAGCTGACTAAAGAAGAGCTCTGTGTAAGCTCACAATTTTGTCTCTGAATATTTAAAAGAATGGAGACATTTTACATAAAAACTATTTGCTTTCACTTTAGCCTCACTCAGCACATTATCTTTATGCTCTCATCCTACTTGCTAATTAGAACGAAAATATCTATGTCCAGTCTATATCTTTAAAGGGCAATATAGCCAAAACTATCATGAAGGGAGGCTTGCGTAGCAGTTAACTCATGTCATATGGGATCCTATTACTCTATATGTTCTGTATTCTTTCACACTTTTCAGAGCTTTGTACTTAATTTAGCTTCTGTAGCTCTTGAGATTTAAATACAGAATATGAGGACCACACAGTAATATAGTGTCCCACAAATTTTGATAAGGCGCTCAAGATGGAAATGTGTGTTCTAAATTGCATCCTGTTAAATCCCTTAACTTTATTCTTCTTCCTCTATACAATCAGCTCTGGCTGAGTACATTTTCTCACCCATACCCCTTTATCCTGAACCTAGTTTATCTGTTCTCTGACACCAAATATGTGTGTCCTTCTTTCACCCCTCTGCATATCACCCCCAGCTCCTTTAGTCTCTCCAACAGTTTACACCCCTTTACTTATGCTGAATTTGCCATTGCTTGATCTCCAGCAAGTGTATGATAAATTGCTGGAAATTGTAGTATATTCTACTATCCATTATTTTTATTTTTTACAGTAGCACAGTGGAATGTAAACTGCTATATATATGTATTTATTAAAATACAATGTATTTTCTTAAGGGAAGTATAAGTTCAGGTTTGAAGAATTTTCAGTTATGTTTTATCTCCATATTATTAGAAAAAATTAACACAAAAAAGCACTTAATAAAAAATAAGGCTATACCATCAAAGATTATTGTAAGGGGAAAAGTAATATATTAGTAAAGCACTCAGTCATGTTAAGTAAGTGTTAGGTTATTATCATTTGATTTTCTTGGACAAACATAAGATGCCTCTGCTATCTTTCTGTGCACATTTCAAATGTTCTATCTTTAACAGCTGTATTATTTTTTTTTTCTGGCAGCTAATATGAATTCAAAGGGATTGGAATTGAAAGATATTATTTTGGTCCATCTGTATATGAAGAACATGAAAGATTTTGCTGTTATAAATTCAGCTTATGTGACACAGTTTGATTTGTGTCCACCGGCAAGGTAGGATCAGACTATTGCTATGGTATATTTATGATACACTGTAATATACTGTATTACTACTACTGTATTTATGAAGCTTTTGTACACATTTTTTTATGTCTCACATGTTCAGAAGTAGGCTTTTGTACACCTTTTTCTGGGGAGCATGCTGTTTTTTCGTCATATGCATTTTATTTCCTTCATGGAACAATTGCTACAATACATACTCATATCTACTGTGTAATTAAAAGCATGTATGTGGCAGGGAGATCCTGTCAATGTTCCCAGTATGATGAGCCTGACTCCTTTTGCTGGCAGAGACCAAACTTATCCCTTTCAGTATATGTCTAGTGTCTATCAGACTAGAGCTCCAAACTTCCTGCCAGGTCTGTTTGAATGAGCCAATCTAATAGTCTAGGCCTGCAAGATCACCCACAGTTCCAATTCTGTACTGCTCATGACTTCCAGGTTATGTAGCAGTTTTATGTTGGAAACTGGACTGATGTAGCAAATGCTTAGGTCTCTGAAAATCTTACTACGGTTTCTGAAAGTTGTGTGTCAAATCTAGCAAATTCTATTTACAGATAAAGTAAAAAAGAATTGTCTTTTTAATTTGGATTTTTTTTTGTTAGAAGAGTACATTATAGGGGGGAAGCAGTAGATGGGATATAGCTCAACTTTAGCAAGGCTTTTGATACTGTGTCACTTGAATTTCTTATAAACAAACTAGGGAAATATAGCCTAGACCAGCGGTTCCCAAACTTGTTCTGCCGCTTGTGCAGGGAAAGCCCCTGGCTGGTTGAGCCGGTTTGTTTACCTGCCGTGTCCGCAGGTTCGGCCGATTGCGGCTCCCAGTGGCCGCGGTTCGCTGCTCCAGGCCAATGGGAGCTGCTGGAAGCGGCGCAGGCCGAGGGTTGTATTAGCAGAAGTGTTGTAAGGAACACACAAGAAGTAATTTTTCCACTCACTCTACTCTGCAGTAATAAGCCCTCAACTGGAGTATTGAGTTCAGGGCACCACACTTCAGGAAAGATGTAGACAAATTGGAGAAAGTTCAGAGGAGAGCTTTAAAAATGATTAAAGGTCTAGAAAACGTGATTCACAAGGAAGGATTGTAAAAAATTGGTTTGTTGAGTCTGGAGGAGAGAAGGCTGACAGGGGACATGTTAACAGTCTTCAAGTACATAAAAGATTGTTATGAAGAAGAGGGTGATGAATTGTTCTCCTTGACCACCTAGGACAGAACAAGAGTCAGTGGGCTTAAACTGCAGCAAGGGCGATTTAAGTTAGACACTAGGAAAAACTTCCTAACTTATAAGGGTAGATAGCACTGAAACAAGTTACCTAGGGAGGTTGTGGAATCTCCATCATTGGAGGTTTTTAAGAACTGGTTAGACGACCATCTGTCAGGGATGGTCTAGGTAATACTAAGTCCTGCCTCAGTGCTGGGGACTGGACTAGATGACCTATCAAGGTGTCTTCCTGTCCCACATTTCTATGATTCATTGATTTCCAGAATGAGATCTAGAAAGACTCTTGCACTTTACAGTGCTTAGCAACTGGAATACTGATAGGTTGACTAACTGCTTTTCATTTAGTTTACAGAACCCTATCAACAGTTTATGTGATATACTTAAAACTTGAAAGTCTGTTAAGGTAAAATTCAGTTTTTGTTCAAGTTTATAAAACATCTAATATCTGCATAAATGGAGGAAGAGTTGAGATTATAATCATTCAGTTAATGAAAGTTCTATACATAATTATATATATATATATCTACATATATCTATATAGATATGTAGATATATATGGCAATAAATTGCTATAACAAAGCCACTTAATTTCCAGATGTGATATGGTGGAGCAATACCTTTTTGACTCAAAATATTCTTTTCATAAATAATACCCTAGTCCATTTTCCAGGATTGAGTGAATAGAACCATGAAAGATCTATGTAAGAATATTCTCTACAAAATGCTTCCTTTTATTTCAGAGTTAAATGTGCCTAGTGATGGGGATACCATCACTTCATTTAGGAAACTATTCCTATCCCTAAAATCTCTGATTGAGAAGAAGGTTTTTCTAATATTCAGCCTAAATTTTCGTTTTTAAAAATTACATACCATTTCTCCTGATTTTGCCTGCCTGAACAACCATAAACATTTCCACTTCTTTGTTAGCTTTTACACTTTTCTGGACTTTCCAGATTGTCAATATCTTTTTGAATTAACTTCCCAGAAGTGAGAGCAATATTCCAGGTGTAGTCATACCACAGGGGTACGGAGTGGAACTTTTCCTCAATGCTCTTTTGTGTAACACCTGTGTGTATGCTGTTCCAAATTGTATTGATCTTTTTATTGTCTGCCATGTTGCATTGCTAACTCTTGTATACTGTTCTGGCCACTGTCACCACTGCATCTCTTTCATCATTGCTGCTTTCCAAATTTTTCCCTCCCATTGAACATCTGTGTTTGGGATTATAAATACCCAGAACAAGCATACTTGCATTTTCATCATACCTTTGGTATTGTCTGTGAATTTATTAGCTTAATGCATACCCTCTCTTTCAGATCATTAGTTGAAGTATAAATATATAAAGTTAAAGGACTCTGCAAGTGACAAAATGATTTTTTTTAGTGCTACATAAAATATTTTATAGGAAGAAGTTCTTCACTTTTTCCCATTGTGCAACAGTGAGGGCTTTATTACTTATTCAAATTAATAAGATATATTTTCCCTACTTAGTAATAGCTCTACTAGTAATTGGATCTGTGTTGGACTCAGTGCTTTGAAGTCTTCCCTAAGATAAATATCCATGGATCCTTATTATTGTCATGCCCCATAATTTACAAAATCATCCTATATTTTATCCCAATATACAGTCAGTGGAGAAGAGGTCCAAAAATAATGGAATTAAGTTGCAAGCTTGCATTTGCTACTGAGTGAATAAGATTTATACAATATATAATAGGAATTATGCAACATAGCAGCACTATAGTAAAGATAAAATATAATCTGTTATTCAATCATTATAGCTTTATTATCAGTGTGAATACTACTGAGCTTGCCTTGCCCCATACCAATCATAACCACTTGATTTGATTTTTTTATTCGCTCTTTCATTTTTTTGTGTATACCTGGTATATTTCAAGCAACCAGTGAGTGGATACTGTTATAAAAATTAAAAATAATATCACCATAGATATATGAATGTTAGCACAAAGAGGGAGAAAGAAGGGAAAAGGATAAAAAGTTATAACCCTAAAGAGAGGAATTGGCTTATGTGAAACCATTACCATTTAAAAGTAAATATGCCATCTTTTCCTTTTTAAAACTGTTTGTCAAAAATTTGTATCTTCTATTAGTGAAATTATATAAAAAAACTAATGGAAAATGCATACACATAGGAGATAATAGCAGAGTTAGAGCACTGTCATGTGACAAATGCCAGTGCAAATACCGTATCAAAATAAGTCTGTGGACAACATTCCTCTGACAAGATGCTATTCCATTGGCACTATTTATATTGCATCAAATGCAAATAAAGTTAATTCTGTTCAAATGTAATTATTGGTGCTCTCACTATAACCAAAGGGTGTAGATGTGCTACAGTGACAGTTTTTCACTTGACCTTTCATAAAAAAATTATTTTCTGCCTTAGCCACAGTAAGTAAAAGAGTATATTTTAAAAGGTTTTCTGTATATTTATTGTATTGAATTTCTGAATGATTGGCTTGAATTATTGCTAATTGTATAGAATGGTCGGGTGACCTGCTAAATGATTGGTCAGCAATGGTTTTATCTGGCATGATATGAGACAGCAGTAGAGTTATCCCAATGAAGATATGAGTTTGTAGTGTACTTGGTTTCAAAAGCAGTCAGAAACTGTAAAGCTTGGAAATAAAGGTTTTCTATCTACTCACCCTTTGTTGTCCTGTGTTTGGTGTTGTATGTTAATTTTTCCTCTTGAGGTATGGAGACATCAAAGAGGATTGATTTTACAGTCCTTTAGGAGAATATACAGTAGTATGGTATGTTTTTCTAGGCAACTCTGTCTTTGCTGGCCTGCCTGGAATACAGATTCATCGAAGACTTTCTCTCAATTTGTAAAAGTTTATTTATGGTCCTACACAAACAACACTGATCTGGGCCAGCACTCCTGTGAAGGGGAGTGGCAGTTTACATTCCCACAAAGAAAAAGAGGGTATTGGTGAGGAATTGTCACTGAATCACTTCAGAATTGTAACCCAGTTCCCAGGACTTCTTCAGGGAAATCACCACTATACACTGCCCTGTACTCAGTGCTGAGCCTCGTGGTTCAATCAAGCCCCAAGAGTGAGAAGAAAATCCTTAATTTACTTAGGACCTGAATCTATTGAAAATAAATTGTGTTTGTAGTCCACAAGGGGGTGACAACTCTCACCAGGAATAAAAACAAAAATTACTTAAAGAATTACAGAGAGACAAGGTGGGTGAGGTAGTATTTTTATCGGACCTGCTTCTGTTGGTGAGAAGGACTAGCTTTCAAGCTTACGCAGAAAATGAGCTCTGTGCAAGCTCAAAATCTTGTCTCTTTCACCAACAGCAGTGGTGATATTACTGTGGATATTACTACACCCACCTTGTGTTTCTCATATCCTGGGACCAACACAGCTGCAACGGCACTGGAAACAAGAATGTAAAGAATTATAGGTGTATTTGGAATAATGTATCTTATAACAGATCCACAGTCCCCCACCCACCTTCTTTTCATGGTTAGAGAATTCTTTATATTACTTTGTGTTACGTTTTCTGTTCCAATGGATGGTTAGATCCATTACATACTGTTACCCTTGCCTGGCTCAGATTTAGCCACCTCAGATGGGGCTGGTTAGCTGCTGTGAAATTTTAAATCTATGGACAACACACTGTGTATGACGTGACAATTTAGATCTAAACTACATATTGAGGTCCTGACCCAGGTAGCATAAGAACACTGAGCTCTCTGATAAACTCAGAATTATGCAGCCGTGTAAATTGATTATGAAATAATTTAATTACTTAGTGTGGCTCCTGAAATGAGATAGATGGGAATGGGCAGTACGAGAAGAGGCTAAAGCGCTGCCTTAAAGGGAGTGGGGAGAGGCTTCTAGGAGATGCAGGCAGCCATCCAGGGTTACTAATCCACAAAGACATGGAGTTCTCTTTCTACATAGTCTAAGAGGAGAACATGGCAGGTTCTACTCCTTACTGTACAGCTCGTAAAGCTGCACAAGAGCAGATTTCCACTTCAGTGTATTTTAAGTACAGTCCCTCCTCCTGCTTCATCCTCTTCTGCTCTTCATGCTACTGCATGTCTTTTGCTCCCTCATTTGCATAGCTAGCCATACAATCCCCTATCACTTCATGTGGAGCTTATAAAAGAACAGGAAAAAAGGTTACAAGCTGGGAGGATGCAGGAAAATCGCTTTTTGTGATTATTTATGTAGCACAAGCAGACTTATACTGCATTTTGGTCAAAAGAAGAATTATGCACACATTTGCACGGCTGCATAATTGCATTATGCACAGAGACTTGGCTATGGGAATTCTCGCTAGTAACATGCTAGGAGCACGGACCCAAGGGTATAGATCTACAATAAATTTACAAAATTGTCTTGAAAATTTAGCAGCCCAAGCAGAAAATCTACTCACCCATCCTTATCATGATGTTAATGGTGGGGTGGTGGGCAGAAAGAGGAAATATTTTCTTGCCTGTGGTGAAAAAAGTTATTTTTCCTGAGTAGAATTTTACAAGACTGTATTATAAGATACTTCCAGAGAACAAGCATTTACAAGTCATTTTCTGTTGAATTTCTGCTGAGAGTTAAATATCTCCCCTTTATGTGTATACTACAAACTTAATTCTTCTTCAATAGCTATAGGCTCTGAGATGCTGCTCTCTTTCTAGCTCTTTTTAGTGGCTTGTTTTCAATAGGCTAAATCATGATAGATAGATTAGATAGATGGATGGATGAACAGGTTGGACAAACACCTGTCACGGGTGGTTTAGGTTTACTTGGTCCTGCCTTAGTGCAGGAGGCTGGACTTGATGATCTCTCAAGGTACCTTCCAGCCTTATATTTCTCTGAGTCTATAAGATAATCATATAATCTTTCATGATTTATGTTTTCAGGGTATGTGTAGAAGCCCCATTGCTTGATGGAGTACTCTTTTGTATGGATTGCCTTGCACATAAGTGTGACGTTACGATCAGTGATGTACACCGTTATCAAAAACAGATCATGCATGTACAGAGCATTTCTCACTGGGCACCTGCTAACATAGGACCTTATAGTCAGTCCATCAAGGTAAGAAATCTTTGTTACTGTATATGAATTATTTATCAGTTAACAAAGTTATCAGCTCTTTTCTTTTAATCTGCATAGAAGAAAAAAACCCAAAGTTTGCGCCTTTGTAATATGTTTTTAAAAAAAAACTACAGAAAAATGAAAAATATGAGTATATACATTTAAAGTTTTAAAACCTCTGTGTATTACACCTTTTCAGTCTTTTGCTGCTGTTTATCAAACTTTTCACTCTGTGATCATCAGGCAGGGCTAAGGACAATTATTTCTTTCAGAGCGTCACTCTGCACAAAAACAGTATATTGAGGTTATACACTATAGTTATAACAGTAAGTAATTATAGTGCATGTGTATTTCCATATGCTTTCTGAAATTTAGCTATTCATTGAAAACATTTCAGGGCCTTTTTAAATTTCTTTATGTTCAAAGACAACAAGTTCACACTTTTTCAACGCTTAAACACTTGTAAGTGAATTTCCTTTTGAAGCTCTAGATATTAGTATTGCAGTACATAAAAGCAAATCAAGACTGATGAAGTATTTTTAAAACTTACATTTAATAAAAAGTGCGTGGAACATGATATATTGCTTAACAAATATGAAAGAGTAACCAAGCATCCCCCTTCCCAACTCCTAATGCCTTCCTGAGTGTTAGGGAAAAGTCTTGTCTTTAACTTTGCAAAAGAGAATTTGTATGAACTCTTCTCTCCACCCCCCTGTCTGTACAACAGAAAGAAGATCTAGCCCAAACTATGTTATTACTAGTAGGAGGATCTGTGACTTACACAATATTTTATTTCATATATTGTAATTCTTCTGAGTTGTCTTCTGATTTGACTACATAGTTCACCGACCCCTCTCTTACCTCAAAGGAGATAGATGAACTCTGGCTGCTGGGCCGCACTATCCTACGAGGGAAAGAGGACTTAGAGGGATTCAGGCCTTCAGGCCACACCGCTTTAGGAGCGCACTATAGAGACTCCGGCCGCTAGGCCACGCTATCCCACCGGAGGAAGAGAGTTTCGGGAGACTCTGGCCATTGGGCCATGCTGCTTTAGGAGCGCACTATAGGGATTCTGGCCGCTAGGCCGCGCTATCCCACTAAGGGAAGAAGATTTAGAAGGACTCTGGCCATGGGGCCATAGAGCCCTGACTACCAGGGAGGTTGTAGAACTGGCGTAGAAGCCGGGAGGCAGGGTTAATCCCCCCCACCCCACCCCGGAATCAAAGGGGTTCACAAAGTACAAAACCCGCCACAAGTCCCAGAAGAATCCATTGGTCCTTTTCAAAATCGACATGAGGCTGAACAGATAACACAACATGGACTCAGTGCCAGCAATATGGAGATAACATACAGCTGTGCTTATCCTTTACTTCATCTGACCATACCACTATCACCAAGATGGCAGCATGCTTGAGTGAGATCAGTTCATGAATGAAGAACAGCTGGTTGGAGCTAAGTGCAAGCAAAACAGAGGTGATGCTGGTGGGCAAGGGTAAGCACTTGGCAGAATTTGCAGTCATGGTGAAGTCTCCTTTGGTTGATGGTACATCCCCACAGTTGGTCAGTTCAGTCTGTAGCCTAGATCCCTCAGTAGTGCTAAGCTCTCACATAGTAGCATCCACAAGCAATACTTTCTGCCATTTCTGGTTGGCTAGGAGACTCCAGCTCATCCTAGTAGCGGTTATATATGTCTTCAATACCTCCCATCTGAACTACAGCAGTGCAGTATAAGTGGGCACAAAGACATCAGCCCTTAGACAGCACCAACTAATACTGAACACTCCTCAGCAATACTGACTGCCACAAGCATATCAAACCTATTCCCCGCCCTCTACACTGGTTTCCTGTAGAATATCAAGTGAGGTTCAGAGGCTTGGTCCTCATCTTCAACACCCCCATTTCAATGACCAGGGCCAGGCCTAATCAAAGAATTGCCTTAAGCTCCAGCAGGAACCAAGGACAGCCACAAACCTCACCGCCTTCCACTTTTGAGTGCAAATCACCTTTTTTTTTAACCTTGCCTTCTCTAACATAAACACATAACAGCATGTACACTTAAGCACACACACACACACACACACACACACACATATATCTTCCAAAACAAAACACTCCACTGTCAACATATTCTCCTCCTAAGAAGAGGATGAGAGAAAGCACAAACCTCATGTGTCAGATATTAGTCACACAGTATTGTTGTACTTGTGTTGGTTCTAGAATATTAGAGAAGGTGAATGAGGTAATATCTTAAATTGGACCAACTTCTATTGGTGAGAGAGACAAGCTTTCAACCTGCACAGAGGTGGTCTTCTGGTCTGGGAAAGGTACTAAGAGTGTCACAGCTAAATCCAAGATTGAACTGGATTTATGGCTTATTATAACAATCTGTAGCCCACTAACCCTCCTTTTTGTTCTATGACTACTGGGGTGTTAATGGGCCACTTTACCTTGCATGGTCTCCTAGGATACGTGCTAAGTACTTGTGCTGGACTATGTGATCTTGTAGTTAGCTGTGACACTGATTACACCACACATTAAGGGGCGGGGGGGGCCTATTGTCTGGCTTGCTGGATGAAGGTAGGTACCCCTTTAAGGAGAGGGAGACCGAGGAAGTGTAATTTTGTGAGAGAAAATGTCAACGTGGGCACACTGTGACCCATCCCACTAGGTGACCGGAACAGAAGGGAGGTTATATAAGTACATGCTGAGTAGGAGAAGCCCTCTTTTACCTGAACCAGGCGGAGCAGCACTCATCCTCCCACACATGGAAGTGGCAAAATACCAGGTTTGGTCAGGAACTGCTATGGGCACTGCAGTAGTCGTTCCTTTCTTGAGGGGTGGGCTGAGAAGGAATTTTTCCCTCACCACCAGATTGGCCTAGGCGAAGTGCAGGGGTTTTCACCTTCCTCACAGCAGGTTTGTGGGGCTGGAAGGATTCGTTGAGGGTAAACGTGGAACAGGAGTTAGGCTGTGATGTTGCAATTCATTATGTTGATGTGGGGCAGATGTCCAGTGCAGGTACTCCATAATGAAGTGATACAGTCATCAGATAAATAGATTGGTAAAGGATTTAAAGGAGGTATTCCTTAAATGAGCAGAAACAGGGCAGGTTCGGGGCTACTTTGACTGGCACAGCAGGAAGCCAGTTACCCCACCCTTTATGATCCATCTTAACCCTCATTCAAGGTGAGATGGTAAGCTCCCAGCAGCAGGTGTGCTGGGGATCATGATGGGAAAGGGGGAGGGCTGACAGAAGTCCACCAGATATGTATTGAAATGATACTATAGACGTTTATCTGCTGGGTACTCCCAATCAGTTAATAACCAAGTTGCAACCTAATTAAACCACATCCAGTGTCTTCTGTCCTTCTAGCATAGCTGGACAATCTAAGAACCTTTCCCAGAGCTGAAGAGGAGCTCTGTGTAGCTTGAAAGCTTGTCTATTACAGAAATTGGTTCAATAAAAGATATTACCTCATGCACCTTGTCTCTCTAAGATGTTAGTCATGTCACTTACCTCACTACTGGAAGATGGATAGCTACCCTAAAATAATAAGGGCAGTATAAGAAACTGCATATAATAGAATAGAGCTAGTGGTATTGTTTAATCCAGCTTCCCTGAAGAGGATGGATTGAATCATAGAATATTAGGGTTGGAAGAGACCTCAGGAGGTCATCTAGGCCAATCTCCTCCTCAAAGTGGAAACAACACCCACTAAATCATCCGAGTCAGGGCTTTGTCAAGCTGGGCATTAAAACCTCTAAGGATGGAGATTTCACCACCTCCCTAGGTAACCCATTCCAGTGCTTCACCACCCTCCTAGTGAAATAGAGTTTCCTGATATCCGACCTAGACCTCCCCTGCTGCAACTTGAGACCATTGCTTCTTGTTCTGTCATCTGCCACCACTGAGAACAGCCTTGCTCCATCCTCTTTGGAACCCCCCTTCAGGTAGTTGAAGGTTGCTCTCAAATCCCCCCTCATTCTTCTCTTCTATAGACTAAATAACCCCAGTTCCTTAGCCTCTCCTCGTAAGTCATGTGCCCCAGCCCCCTAATCATTTTCGTTGCCCTCTGCTGGACTCTCTCCAATTTGTCCACATCCCTTCTGTAGTGGGGGAACCAAAACTGGACGCAGTACTCCAGGTGTGGCCTCACCAGTGCCGAATAGAGGAGAATAATCATTTCCCTTGATCTGCTGGAAGTGCTCCTACTAATACAGTCCAATATGCCGTTTGCCTTCTTGGCAACAAGGGCACACTGCTGACTCATGTCCAGCTTCTCGTCCACTGTAATCTCCAGGTCCTTTTCTGCAGAACTGCTACTGGCTAAGTCGGCCAGTTGGTCCCCAGCCTGTAGCGGTGCATGGGATTCTTCCTTCTTAAGTGCAGGACTCTGCACTTGTCCTTGTTGAACCTCATCAGATTTCTTTTGGCCCAGTCCTCCAAATTGTCTAGGTCACTCTGGACCCTATTCCTACCCTCTATCATATCTACCTCTCCCCCCTAACTTAGTGTCATCTGAAAACTTGCTGAGGGTGCAATTAATCCCATCATCCAGATAATTAATAAAGATGTGGAACAAAACCGGCCCCAGGACCGACCTCTGGGGCACTCCGCTTGATACCAGCTGCCAACTAGACATTGAGCCGTTGATCAGTACCTGTTGAGCCCGACAATCTAGCCGGCTTTCTATCCACCTTATAGTCCATTTATCCAATCCATACTTTTTTAACTTGCTGGCAAGAATACTGAGGGAGACCGTTTCAAAAGCTTTGCTAAAGTCAAGATATCCACCACTTTCCCTATATCCACAGTGCCAGTTTTCTCATCATATAAAGCAATCAGGTGAAGATAAGGCTTGAAGGCAAGATTGAAGATAAGGTGCTGATACTGCTTCCCCTTACTTGCCACACTGGCCAGAAGAGAAGATGAAAGAGAGAGCACATGCTCTGCCCTTTCAAAGGGTTGTGGATACTCACTTGTAAAATTCAGTCAGGAT